CCTTCCGTTTGAAAGCTTTAAAAGTTAAGCCACTACGGAATCTCGACGTTTCGTGAGCCCGCTTCGATCGCGGCCGGACGTCGGCGGGCAGAAAGTTCTTCCCGCGCTCAGTCGGAGAACAAGACGGACGTCTGCTCGAAACGCGATTACGCGGCTGTTAGGGATCGCGGTATTCCCGGCACGGCCGCCTCTTCGCCGGACAGTTAAATTTACGATCGGATCCAAAGTAAGAACCAATAACGCCGAGTTGTAACAAGTTTGTTCCACGTATGTTACGCCCCCCCCCGGAGCCGAGGCTCGCGGGTTTCACAGCTAAGCTCGATTTCCCGACCGGCCCCCGAAAGCGGACTCGGAGGTCGGCGTGTTTCCCCGCAAAAGTCGGCCTCTTTGGAGCCGCCCGAATTCCGCAGCGGAATTCTCCCGAGAAATCTAAGACCCAATGAGCTCCCCCGGGAAAGCCCTCTCCCGAAAAATCTCTATTTCCGCCGCAAAATCGGGACGCTTCCGCGCGATTTTCAGCTACGCGAAATCCCGAACCTGTCGGGCGTTCCATAACTTCGCGGACAAATTTCAACTGTAATGAATTTTTCTTTTCTTTTTTTTCCGGGATAATTGCACGTTCAAATGAAACCCTGGAAAAGGTGGGAAGAAGTGATCAAGGTGTTTAGTTATAAATTATGGCGATTCGTTTAGTTGCAAGGTATACATTTTGGAATTTTGTTTCAGTTTGTCTGCGAACTTATGGAACAACTAGAGGCGCCTAGAAAATTTGCAATATCGTGACATTGCCGGTTTAGGTATTAATGACCTCGATAGCAGTATTTATAATCGATCTTAGGCGTAGTAATACTCCTCTCCGTTTATTATCGTAGCTTCTCTATGTACAAATTGACTTTCCCTCTCCTCCGCCACGCTTAGGAAGGACCTCTCCGTCGTTTTCCCTTTATCTTCCTTTTTCTCTTCTTCGCAAATTTCGGGGGGAAAATTTCGGGAATCGCGCCGATGAAAGTCCACTCGCGTTTATTCCGATGAACCGAAAGTGCACGTGGGAAAATGACAGATAATCGGTGCTCTAAGGGGATCGCGGAGTGGCCGATTTTTCCGCTTTAATTCGCAATGTAGTTACTAATTCGTACAAACGTTGCTGCATAACGGTACCCGTATGACTGTCAGCTGTACAGAAGGCTGGGAAATCTTAAAATCAATCGAACGAACGAGGTTTATTCAAGAAGACAATGAAACGAGAGGCCGCTCGTCGCTGCGGTGACATGTTTTATCCCCGATAACGGGGCGACGAGAACGGTGTATATTTTTCAATGACATTGTGGGTTAATTAACGTGACAATGGACCTTCCAAGAGAAATCTCTGCCGGGATACCCTGTACAGTGAACGCTCGAATATTGTCGCTTTTTATTTGAGGAGCATCCTCGTTTCGCTATCACCGGTGAGCGCCGATAACCATCGCTTAACGGCCAATCTTTCCGATCGAACGACTCGAAACGGATTTCCTACTTTGAGATTCGAGGCGATTTATCGTCCCCGACTTGTCACCCCTCGGATTTCAGATGGAGAACACGTAATTGCGTGATTACAGGCAACCGACTCACGCAACCGGGCAACCTCGTTGCCCTGAGGCTCGCGTGACAAGAGCTTGCGATCGCGAAGACCTTACTTACCTCTTATAGCTTAATAGTTTTATGATCTCTCCCTAGAAAATTTGGTCGCAGCACGAAGGAGTATATCCAATTACCGGTCATGCGACACGTGAGCCCCCGGGAAGAGATATATGAATTAATAAATAAGCGAAAGGTCCCAGCTTGATCCGGGCTGAGCGGTTTGAAATGAATCATTTCAAGACGAAGGGTGTCCTCGGATCGCGAGACCGAATTAGTACAGACTTCGTGCGCGCTTTTCAAGATTTCATCCAGAGCGTAATTTCTCCGGCAATCGTCTTTCAATACCCAGGATTGGGTTGGTGCATAAGTTCGAGCGATTTTTTTTTAAATTAAATTTGAATCATCAGACATTTTATTTTTAGTTATGTATTATATACCATTTTAAAGCCCGTTTTCTTCTGTACTTATAATGTATTTAAGTTGTGTTTTAAGTTTATTTATGTGCTTCGTTAGGTCGATCAAATATGGAGCCGAAAGTTGAAAGAAATGCTCATTTTCGACATTTGCTTTTATTCGAATTTAACCGAGAAAACCATTTTTGCGCAGATCTAACACTAATTGCATCTTCGCCATAAACATTTTGGATGGTTCGCGCAGCGTCCATTGTTTTAACACCTCGATTAAATTCGAATAGAAGTAAGTGTCGGAACTGAGCATTTCTTTCAACTTGCGGCTCCATATTTGATCAACCTTAAAAAGCACATAAACTTAAAATACAACTTAATATGTTATAAGTCCAGAAAAAAATGGTATATAATACATGAATAAAAAAAATTGTTTGGCGTATTAGAATTTAGTTTAAAGAAAAAACGTACGAATTTGTGCACCAGCCTAATAGTATTCCCCCATAAATGGGCGTTAGTCCGGGTGTATCTTTCGTCGGATTAATGCGATTACCTTTATTAATAGCATTTCCGTTCTAACTCATTCATGAACTGTGGTTTTCTTGGGCCGTGATTACGGGTTCCAATTTAGCGCGTCAAAATTGGGCTGTTATGCCGAAACGAGGACGAAGTGGTCCTGGCTGTCGCTAGCCTAGAAATGTAACCTTACAATGCCTTTCCTCTTTATATATAATAATACCGATAATCATAATTGGGAATGTGTTACGCTACATTATGCTCCCCGCTCGCAGTTGCAACCCCGCGACGTGCAGTTGCAAGGACTCGGCTCGCTGCAAATATTAGTCCGGTCGTTAGTTTCCACGCCGATGGGGACACGGGATGTCTGGACGTCGAGGCTGTTGACATTTCTTTTTTACACATTTTTGTTGGGGAGAAAAAGAAACTCGGAGCGGTGGAGAATTTCAAATTTGACGTCTGTACGCCGGAAGCCACGAAATTCGTTGGCACGCCTTTAAATTTCCGCAGATTTCTCGCTGACAGAAGTTCCCTAAAGTGGGATTTAATTTTACTCTCCGCGATATTTGGCACACGTTCACTGTATAATTATGCGGTGTTTCCTAGTCGCCTCCGGGCACTTAGCGATAAGATTGGTAATTTTTTAGATATTATTTCTCTCCCGCAACCCTCGACTTCCGGTGTCCCTCTCGGCGCGTTCGTCTCGAAAATGGAAAAGAAATTGCGGGAAATTTCGGCAATCGCGGAACGAGCACTGAAACGTAGTACCGATAGGATGCGAATGAGAACTTATGGCTAAATAAAACTTTAGAAAAATATATCAACAAATAATAAATATATCTTTAACAGTATCATTCTATATAATTCGTCATACAGCGTACGGTAGCCTATGCATGTACAGTTACTATATACACGTTACAAACCTATCAGCCTAAAGTAATATACAACAATTCATTAATTTTCATTACCTAGTCGCCAAGTATTCCGAGTAGCCCCGGGAAAAGTCCGATCCCTCGTGAATCTTGTCCTCATTTCATTTATTGTTCAATCCGACGAGCGTTTTCCTCCCGCGAGGATCGCCGGTTTAAAATCAAAAACGACTCCGCGAGATGGAGAGAGACGGACGATCTCTCCTTTTCCATTTCTTTTTCCTCGATGTCCGAGAACTCGCCTCTGCGTTTTGTTACGTACAAATTATCTACATGGTTATGTACATCGCTTGAGTACCTTGCAGCAGAATCCCGTGATTTCGGAATGAGTATACCGGAGCGGCGAGAGTCTAGTCACGTCTTTCGACTTGCGCGTGACTTTGTCTGCCGTTAATCGATAAATCGAAAGGTTCACGACCCTGAACTAATCCTCGTGTCGAGCGACGATTCAACATCGCCATTGACCCCCGGTTTTGCGTCCCGCACGAATTTTCTTATTCTCTTAAAGCGTCTCTGGGCCCGAGAACTTCCGGCACACCTTCGACACGTGCTTGCAAGCTGGATTAAATTCATAAACCATATTTACACGACACCGATTTTCCCACCCTCCCAGGGGACGTTGAAATCAAAGTAAAACGCTTCCCAGTGCCAAAACTCATAGCCGAGTCGGAATGAAAAAATATTAAAAATTGAAAAAGGTGATTAAGGCAGAGAGGTTGAGCACGACGTGTCGGAAAGTGCGGAAGTCATGTCGCGGACCGAGTCGGTAATGGCGGGCTCGTTGTTCTCGCCTTAGGGGTGCTTTTTGCAGATACGGTTACACCGGGACGACGCCCTTAAGAGGATATGAAAGATTCAGCCTGTATATATCTGAGAAGTCAAATCGTTGGGGGAAGTATTCTCCAAAATGGGTGTACCGATTCGTTTGAAATTTTGCCACGTGAAATGGAGGTCCTAAAGTAGGTCCCGAAACTCATGAAATTTCATTTTTCATCAAATATTTATTTATCTACGATGGACTGGAACCAACATGGCGTAGTCCGTGCACGTTTTCGATGTTTTACGCTTCTTAGAGGCTTAGAATCGAAAATGAAGAGTTTCAGGACCTAGCTCGAACAATTTAGAATACCGTAGTAATGGAATATTACAGAGTCAGATGGGAAAATGTGGCAAATACTTTCACCAACGATTGCAACAAAATGCTGGCTTATCCTGCGGCTAACACGTGTTTTTGGAGCAAAAGTTAAGTTGCATCTAACTGTCACATATGACGACGCGGTTCGTCAAGATATAAACAGTCTTGAATTCATGGGATTTCGGCAGTTTTCCATCGATCTTTTTATCATTACTTTCCCGAAATGACATATAGAACCCTTTAGTTCGTATAATTCTCAATGTAGACTGCAAAAGACTGCAATATAAATATAAATGTCGGCAATGGGACGCGCCAGCTTATGTTACCACTTGAGTATTTAAAACGGCATTACCACCAAAAAGGGTATAGATGAATTTGATTTTATTGAGGTCGATTAAATTTCTTAGCGCCTTTCATATCCTCTTAAGGACGAGTCTAGGATAGGCGAAGGGAGGTGAGATTTTTGGCCCTCTTAGGTCGTCGATTCCGTTCTCTGGGTTCGTTAGTTCGTTGGCCCGAAAGTGGAACTAAAAAGGGCCCTAACGACGGAGGCGCAGGAGAATCAGAGTTAGGCAGAGAAAAAGATTCGGCAGACTTAGCGACCGAAGGTGGGCGTGACTGTAGCCGGAAGCTCGCGTCACGTTGAGCAAAACGGAAGAGCCGGCGATGCCTTCCGGGGAACGAACCAGGAGCAACCACTCTCCGGCGTGGGACCATTGGACGGTCTCGAAGTGCAGGATTGTCCTGTGGCAGGCCTCCGTCTCGCCGTTCTGGAAGCAAAAACGTGTCCCTTCAATCCTAACCTAACTTCCTTACGATGCTTCGGAACGGGACTCTTAAAAAAATATATTTCTCGTAAAAAAAATATGAGGTCGATTCGTCCTTCATTCCCACGTTCTTTATATTACGACCTCATCATTATAAGACGGATTTAGTAAGAATAAGAAGAACATAGGGAGAAGTTCTCTTTAAAAATGTACCGAACCTTGTTTCTGTTTTTTAAGTGACGACAATCCCCAAGGCATGAAATTACACCCTGTCGATAACCGAAACGTACGCCATAGTTCGTTAAAAATATCAGTTCCATTTACTATCAGGTTGCCAACACTAAAGAAACAAATTAGAACTGTTTTTATATTCCCATGGTTCGATTAATTTCTCCACCTCTTAGAACATAGATTTGTGTATCATGGTTCAACGAGGGATCATTTCAAATTAATCCGACAGCTTTGAAGAATAATAAGGCTTAGCTTGGCGATATTTGCGGCACCTACTTCATGTATATATTTCTGGAAAATTATGAGGAATCTCCTGGCGTCAGGAGTTCCTTTTCTGAGGGATCGAAATCCGTTCCCGAAGAGTCGAGGGAATCTCGGCGACCCTCCTCCTTATCGACCCTAATCAGGCGTGCAGATTACGGGCTCGCGAAGTGATTTAGGAAGCCGCTCGCCGGAAGTGGAGGTTCCCCGTGGCCGGCGATTCCTTAGCGTCTGCCATCGTCGGTTTTTCACCGGCAAGAAAGGACCGGCAGTTTCTTGCTCCATTTAACGTCCTCTCCCCGGGTCCCCTTTCGGGCCGGGACAACGCGGATTCCGCGCGCCGCCACCCCCCGACGGGTGGCACCGCTTTCGCTATTCACGACTCTTGCCAGCCTTTCCAGCCTCGCCCTCTCGACCATTCACGGCCGACGTTCGATATATTATTCAGGAGAATATCGGAATGAAACGACCGTGCCGCTCGTCGTGCTTCAAAAGACGCCAAACGGGGCCGGCGAGCTTTGATCTCTCGCCACGCGTAATTCCCTCGGTTTAATTAACCGAAGTTCACGTCGGGGGCCGCCGACGACTTTGAGGCATCGCGTCGGAATCGCTCCCCGTTAATAACGCGCGAGAGGGGCGGATTTATCGACGTCGCCGATCCTTTTTATGTTACGCGGCCGCGGACGTACGTACCGTTTTAACGGGGGTACATCTGTCGCCGGGTGAAGGGTTAAATTATTAAACGAGGTTCCCGGATCACGTGGATTCCGGCTGACTCCCTTAAACGGGGGTCGGTGGATTAAAAAATGTAGGAAAATTCTGCTCAGGGGAATCTGGAATCTCATGTTAAACCGCGTATTAGCGAACGCTGGAACGTGTATTAATCGCAAGATTTTCCTGACATTTTAATGAAAGCTGATTTTTTCCTGGTATCTTTAAAAGGTAACGCGACGGTCGGCGGATGGATTAATAAAATTTCGGGAAAATTCGTTCCGGTGGAATTTCGAAATTTCACATTTTGTCGCGAGTCGGCGAACTTAAGTTTAATCGCGTGATAATCAGAGGAAGTTTTTCGTCAAAATTGGGAAAAAATTGGTTTAGACGAAATTTGAAAATTTCTTCCTAGCTCCCCAGTCGTTGGGGGTTCTTAGATATGGAATCGTAGGATTTTACGGGAATTCCGGAGAATGGGGGAAATCTTGCAACGAGGTGCAGCCGACAGAGATGCTGGGAGCCGAAGCGTTTAGCGCGACGCGCAAGAACAAGCGCCCTTGTTCCTACGGGACTCTCGAGACGCGTGAGCTTCGTCTGCAACGGATAGGTGTCTTGTTTAATTGGAACGACTATGCCTCTCCGTGCTCGCGTGTCTCCCTCGCATAATTTCGGCAAAATTCCCGGCATGTTTACGCCCCGTAGGTCGTTGGCGGGAGCACCCGGAGGATGCCGCTTACCCCGGCACGTCACCGGGGACTCCCGTCCCATCCCGGAAATGTGGATTACATTTAAAAGTCTAAGTCCTACCCATCCACCGATCGCCGATCTCTATCAGAAGAGTGCCTCGGCCCCAGGAATCTCGACTTCGAGTCCCCCTTAAATCGCCACCCTATCCTCTAAACACCTCCACCTTCTGCAACGAGTGTTCCCAGTTAAGGCGACACGAAAGTGGCGTCAAAGAGACCTCGTTTATGAAACTCTTCTCCGAACCGAGTGTCTACCGTACAACGTGAATACGGAGACTAAGTTTCTGCTCATGAAATTTCACTTTTTTATACATTTTTTTCCAGATACTTTAAAAATATTTTATAAAAGAAAGATCATGGGTGTCGGGACATTTGTTATGTCCTCCACGTTCATGTTGTTAAATTTCAAACGATTCGGTACACCGGGTTCGGAGTAAAGTTTCACGAACGGTTGACTCCTTGGATGCTACTTTCATCCCCCTTTAAAAATTTTTCTCGGGTTGTAGAACTCACCCGACGATTAGGGAAAACTGGCGGGACTCGATTAACGAGCTCCCACGTGACTAATTCAGACTCTTCCGAGAGGAGGAAGCCAGAGAGTAGGTAAGAGGTTGGAGGCGCTCGAAGAGTGCGTTCTCGTGTGAGGGGATTGCGACGAGGCCGCATGAATGAGTTAGAGACTCACTTCTATCGCGAGTGCTCGAATGCCGTCCCTTGCGGGTCCTCCTGGGACGTAGACGCGTTCCTCGGACAACCATAGGACCTTGGTGTAGGCGGGCGAGGCGCAGAATTCCATCACCACGTCCAGAACCTCGCCCTCGTTGGCCGTCACGCTCTGCGACGATGGGTGGATCATGGGGCCCCCTGGAAACGAAAACCACCGGGACGTGAAGTTACTTTCCCACTTTCCACCTCGTTCCTCGACACTCTGCCAATGGAGGTGTCGACTCTTACCTTCTCAACACCATCATTTGTACTGATTCATTAATCCTCATGTTCATGTAAAATGAGTACAGAAAACGTTTAACACATGGTATCGATATCAATAATTAGAGAGGAAAAAGAAATTCTCGACAATGTTCATTTTGTACTTATGTTAAATCACATAGGTAATACGTATGACATGTGTTATCAATATTAATGATTAACGAGTAAAAATTTAGATAATTTTCACGTGACAGTGTATGAGTGGAATTTGATGTTGATTCGAATTATTGCGGGGATCGCGGCTGACCAGTGCCTGGTTCATTCTACTGGATGAGCTGAAGAGTATTCTGGATTTTTTCACCGGTTTCTTATATAAAATTAATAGAGAATGCGTATAATACATATTATTGATATTAATGATCAAGTAAGAAAAATTGTAATAATCTTCAGAGGGAAGTGTACGAGTGGATCTCGACGTTGATCCGTATCACTGCGGAGAACCGCGCTTGACCATTGCCTGGGCCGTTCCACTAGATTATTTTGGGAGCTTTCCCGGCTTTTCGGCCGATCGTGGCTCCTAATATTCGAGATCCCCGAATAACCTTGGTCGACGTCGACGTAGAATCGCACCCCCGCGACTTCGGCACTCTCGGGTGATGCCATCGCGATTGCTCGCCGGCGTTCCCTGATATTCGAGCTTGTCGGGCACAATCGATACCCCTTCGCCGTGGGAACATTTCCGGGAAGAGGGGGGCCTTACGACGTCGTCGGGAACCCAGATGTCCCGAGGCGAGGGAACCAGCTACCTAAGTACGTAGGTGGATCTCGAAGTCGCGTTCGTCAGAGTGGGCGAGCTTCGAGATCCGACCAGGGGGGCGGAAAAAGGATTCCGCCAGAGTGGAGGGCGGTTTGACGTGGTATTAACCAGGGGATGACACCGGGCTTAGTTCGGCCTGAAATCCCCCTTCCCTCCTCCGCGCCCATCTGCATGGATTTCCTGCTTCGCAAAGCAAGTTGTCTGACCTCGACCCATAGCCGAGTGAATAGACGCGGGGCGAGATCGCCGGAAAAGGGGGCAGAGAGGGAGAGAAAGAGACCAGCGAGAGAACCGAGCCGACAGGGACGGCGCGAGGGGAAATAGGGAAAGGGTACTCATGAATATTCCTCGGGAATTACTCGGATATCTTGGATGTGGTTCCGGTTTCGCGATGGCGGGAGCCTGTTACGTCCTTGCGGCCGCAACACTCGTTTGCGGTCTTGGCTCTGAACGTAGGTGCCGGGTCCTCCGGGGAAACGGTATGTAATTCTATAAAAATGTCCCGGGGAAAAAAAAAGAAGAAAAAAGAAAATCCAGGATCGCAGTTGCAAGCTCGGCCGACTCTTTTCGACTTTCCGAGGTAAGGGCCAATCTGTGCGTGAAATTGGCGAAGCGGACGAACGATGGAACGAATTACCCCCGCACTCGGGCTGACGTGCCGCGCCGGCACGTACGGTGACGGTCCGCTAATTAATCGATTAATTCGCAATCGGCAAATCGGAACGGGCAACGGGCGCGAATGACAGTGTCGCGCGATTCGCTAAATGGATGGGCTTTCGGGCCGGAGCCGGTGGAAAAATTTTTTGGTGCGCCGCCACGTACCGACCTGAATGGCCCCCCGCGAACTCGCGCAGTTCCGGGACAACGGGGACCACGAGACGTCAAATGTTCTGGTTTACTCGCCTGAATTTCCGACCGGGGACGCGCATTCGTTCGGTTTATTCGCCCCTTTTACGCCGACGCACTCGCGCCGTTGGAGCTCGGCCGAGTCTCGCGCCAAATGCGTATACGCGTGCATTCACGGGTGTGTACCTGCACGAGAGAATCGACACCAGGAAAAGTGTCGCGGGCCCGCCCATCCCTTAATTCCGGAACAAGACACCCCAGAGGGTGCTCTTGCAAGCTATCCTACGCCTAGGTCCGATAACATCATCCCCCAATCGTCGCCGCCTGTGATAACGCTCCGCGGGCGCCATTGTTTCGCAATACAAACGGCACCTCGCCGTTATCTCCCCATTGTTCGGAATGTTCATTAAAATGCTCTAAGCAGCATCCGCGTTAGATTGCAGATTCCGGACGTCGGGTACGGCACCCCGGAGACGTAGGCGTCGGCGACGTCGCGCGGCCGCGTTACGGAGGAAGTTATTGCCCCGTCGAACGCGGAAAACGCCTGGGTTATCTCCGAGGATGGTAACTTCCACCCGATTGCGTTTAATCCCCCTACGATTTCGGGCCAAGGAAACCGCCCGGAGGGCTGATCGGACACTTTTCCCCCTGACCCCCTGTGCTAGAAATTATCGACTTCCGGCCGGACTTATCGACTCGCTGCAACTCGGTGCGACTTTCCAAAATTACATTTACTTCATTTCCAGGTACTATTTCACCTGGAAATAGTGGAGCCCGTTTTGGGCAATTTGCCGGAAAGTCCCTTTCCTCAGAAGTGAAACTTCATCCTGCACCCTTCTCCCTAGAAACGACATATTGACACGCTGCAACCTCAATGCAGTTCGGCGCAATGCAACCAATTTTTTAGAATTTCATTTATATTACGACCAGGTATCCTTTCATTCGGAAATAATGGAGTCGACCATGCGGGGCGATTTTCTGAAAAGTTCCTTCCCTCGGGGGGTGACATCCCAATTCTGCGCCCTTCCCTCCGGGGGATTCGATGCGTTTTCGCCGCGCGCCGTACGTATCGTCCAGGGGTGCACCCCGATAGGGGAGTTTTGCCCCCCGCGAGGACGAACCAGGGGTTATCTCTGTAATTGGGTCGGAAACCTACCCTTAGCGAGGTTTCTCGCTCCGAAGCCATGCCGAATATATACGCGTATCCTTTCCGCCCCCTCGCCCTCTTCGTGATAAGGACAATGGCTGCCAAGTGGCGTCTTCTCTATCTATTTTCCGCGGCCTGCATTGTCATTTACCGGGGCTGCATCTGCGTCTACTTTCTTGCCTCCTCCTACCCCCCCACCCGCCCCTGCCCCGCCGCATTTTCTCAGGTTCCTCGTCTCGGGGCGAATCTTTTAACGTCGACGCGGAGCTCCCATTTACCGGCGCTAAAATTGGGTTAATACTTTAATCCGCGAGCGGGGAGGAAATCCGTCTCGCAGTTTGTAGCGCCGCTTTTAATCGGGCTCTCGTATGCGTCCATAAAAACGTACGCCACCCTCTCTGCCGGACTGCGAGTCGGACCGCGAGATCCAATTACGCCCCTAAACGTGTAATTTTCCCTTCATTTCCGGTTACGGATACACCCGAGAGAGGAACGAAAGTCCCTCAAGTCAAGGCACCGCTTTTCCGCAATTTCGGAGAAATCTCACTAGGTTAATTGTCAGGCACGACGTTCGCGTAAAGAGTCCCGGTGACTTGGCGTGGCGACGAGTGGTGAGTGAATTTTTCCTGCAGCTTTAACAACCCGATGTTTCTTTCGTTCTTAAATGTCTAATTTTACTTTAACTTCCGTTTTTCTGCAATTTCGAAGGAACGTCACTAGGTTTAATTAGCACTTGTGACTTCGTTCGCGGAAAGAGTCCCGGTGACTTGGCGCGGCGAACGAGCGGTGAGTGAATTTTTCCTGCAGCTTTAACAGCCCGATGATTCTTTCGTTTTTGAATGTCTAATTTTACTTTAACTTCCGTTTTTCTGCAATTTCGAAGGAACGTCACTAGGTTTAATTAGCACTTGTGACTTCGTTCGCGGAAAGAGTCCCGGTGACTTGGCGCGGCGAACGAGCGGTGAGTGAATTTTTCCTGCAGCTTTAACAACCCGAAGATTTTTTGGTTTCTGAACGTCTAATTTTCCCTTAATTTCCGTTTTTTTGCAATCTCGAAGAAACGTCACTAGGTTTAATTAGCACTTGTGACTTCGTTCGCGGAAAGAGTCCCGGTGACTTGGCGCGGTTCGCGTCTGACGAGTGAGCTCTCCCTGCAGCTTTAAAGCCCGGTGTTTATCTCGTTCTCAACTTTTCAACAGCCCCTCCGTGAGTGCATTCGCCGGGTAAACATCCACGTAGTGCGATGCCGACTCCCGGGAGCAACCAGAATGGGTCTGGCGAGGTAACTTCTTAAGTTCACCCCTAACTGACCCGCTTTCGGTAAATCGTCGATAGAAGAGATACCGCTCGAGGAAGGTTGAACGTACGGCAGACGTCGAGAGGAGCCGGGGGAGGCGAGGCAGAAAATTCAACCGAGCTGCTGCAAACGTACGAACCAAGTTTCCTCCGATCCACGCATTCGTTCGGATATAACTTTCGACGCATATGTCGTGTTCCCGGTAACACTGTTTCCCTCTTCCGGCGTATTTCACGCCAAACTGTTACCCTAGGCGCCGAGACCGGGGCGAGATACCCGTAGGAACATCCCCAAGAATTAAGTAAATCCACGGAGGTCTTTATACTTTTGCCCAATTCCTCGATTTTTGGACAAATCTAGGTCGACTTGGATAAGGGGACTTCATCCCCTTTGCCGAATGGAGGAGGGAAGGTCTCCCAATTTGCTCGCTTTGATCGGTTCGCCCGCAATCCGCGGAATTAGCCCGCGATGGCTCCCCTCCCGCGAGGATGCACTCGGATGGAGCCAGGCAAAGTGCACGGCTGCAATTTCGCAAGCTCGGCTGCGGCCTTAAGCGCGCGAAGAAATTCCCTCGGGAAAATATCCCCGACCATGGGCATGTATACGTGCGCGTATCCCACACAGAGTGCCTCCCACGTGGGAATCCGAAGGGGTTCCGATTCGCGGCTGGTGGAATATCGGCGGGGCACTAACAATTATCGTAAACGCGCGGCGGAAAGGCTCCTACGGCAATTCCGCGCGGGGGGGCGTTTTACCGATTAGCAATTCCGGCCACTCGTGGCCGGAGTTTTAGGGAGACTCGGTCGTTCGGCCGACGTCCTTGCAATTGC